AAGCGGCTTGCCTAGACTGGATAAAAGAATGGATCAAGCTGGAAGATGTGAGAGGCCTAACTCTAGAAGGATCAGACCTAGTAATGGGCTGGCACACGTACATTTGGTATGGGAAAGATAAAACCCACCTACATTTTAAAAATCACATCCTAAGGGGGGCTCTGTCAAAGGTATGGAATGAAGTTAGAACCAAATTTTACACTAAAATACCAAAATGGGTGTCCCCCTTAGAAGCCTTTATAAGACCAGCCTTCCTTACCAAGTACAATAAAGAAACATATGAAAAACTATTAGATGAGGCAAACCACCTGAAAACAGATGAGAAATTACTGTCAGAATGTAACTTGAAATTATCGGGGTGGGAAAAAACCCAGCTAAAATCAAGATACCAGATAGACTTGAAAGTGGGCTTCTACCCAGAGAAAAGCGAGCTAGATAAGATCTGGCTCTCATCAAATGACAAAATGATCCAAAAAATGTACAAAATACTGCTAGAGGATTACTTGTCAGAAGAAACACAAAATCATAACTTAGTGGTATGGAAAAAAGATCTAGGCCACGAAATATCAAAAGAAGCTAGGTCAAAGATTTGGAAATCTGTAAAATATATGAGAGCAACAAGCTATAGAGAAAATGTGTTTAAGATGTATCACAGATGGTATTGGTCACCAGAAAGGCTAGCCAAATGTTATCCAAACTGCTCAAATGTTTGTTGGAAATGTAAATCAAACGTAGGAACGTTTTACCACATGTGGTGGCGCTGTACAAAAAAATCAGATCTATTGGAAAACCATACAAAAACTTATAGAGGAAATTTGGAAAGTAAAACTGGATATGATACCCAATATATTTTTACTTAATGTTATGCCAGATAAGTTAACTTATAATGAAAAATATGTAATTGCATATATAATAACAGCAGCAAGAATACTTTGGGCCAAACATTGGAAGCTAGACTGTGTACCCAGATCTGATGAAGTAATAAGTAAATTGATGGAAGTAGCGGAAGTAGATAAACTGAATATGTATTTACAAGGGAAAAACGACGAAGACTTTTTAGACAGATGGGTTGAACTGTATAAATGGTTGGAAAAAAAGAGAGGACTTAAAAGAGTGGACTCTGAAAATATATGTAATACTGTATAAGGAATAAATGTATGTAAAACCATAAAATAAAAATTAAAAAAAAAAAGATCACTACCACGGGAGAAAATGGTTAATTCAGAGGGTGGGGTCTGAGGCATTATACCCTGCAAAGGTCCCTCCCCTCCCCAAACCCCGCCTTCCCCACGCTCTGCCACACACACACCCCAAATCTCGTATCTGGCAAACCTACCAGCAACACAGCCACTAATTCCATACATGAATGTTCCCTCTAAGCTGTGGAGTCTTGTGAGCAAGCATTCTACTTTGTGAGCACCTGGCATTAAAGTTGTGAGTGGGTAATTTGGCTTCTGGATAAATTAGTTTGCTCTGGAGCCATCCAGAGCAATGGAAGACCTTGGGCATGCCGTAGTTCTGATAAGAGCTGTTCTTGAAAAAGAGCAGTTTCTGTCAAGAGCTCTCTCAGCCCCACCTACCTCACAGGGTGTCTGTTGTGGGGAGGGGGAAGGGAAAGGCGTTTGTAAGCCGCTCTGAGACTCCTTTGGGTAGTGAAGGGCGGGGTACAAATCCAATCTCCTCCTCCTCCTCCTCCTCTTCTTCTTCCTCTATCCATCCATCCATCCATCCAATTTATACCCCGCCCTCCCCGCTGAAGCAGGCTCAGAGAGGCTTACATAAAAGATTAAAACAAATAACAATGGTAAACAATCATAAAACCTTCTAAAACAATCCAGTATCATAAAGTGTTAGTTGTTGTTGTTATGTCCTGTGTTGTTATCCGCCCTGAGCGGATTTTAAAAAAAATTAACATCCCGACATCGACTACCATTTCGCACAATGTAGTTGGCAACCTGTTTGTGATGGGAGCTTGAATGAGAAAGGAGGTGGGCGGGTGGGCGGGGGGCCCAAAAGTCCACGTGCTTAACTGAGGCCAACAGAGCTGGCCAAATTCCCAAGAGTTTGTCATTTGACAAACCTGTTCACGCAGACAAAACACGCTCACAACGTCCACTCACTGATGGCCAACCTGAACCCCTTTCAAACTGTTGAGAATAATAAGAACCTCAATCTTCTCCAATTTGCTGTGATAGTACTGAAAATAGAAAGTGTCCCACCTCTTCTCCCAGAATCACTCCATCCTGGATTGTCTACACCCTCAGGGACTGAACAGGCTGGCTTCTTCACCTCCCTTTCACCTTTCAGCTGCTCTCAACATTCCATCCATTCCGGATCATGTTTAGGCCTCATCAGGCTGTTTTCAAAATTCCCACCCCATACTTAAGCCTCATTGGGCTGTTTTCAAACCCCCCCCCCACTTTTGGTTCATTTACAAAGTCATATTGCTGTGCAGATGTAAGGAATCCCCCCAAGTGGTTAGGGACACCTCCCTTGTCTGTGGGTGGCCTCGTTGTGCAGATTTCATTATCCATGCAGAGGTTGGCCAGTTTACTACTAGAGTGATTTTATAATCTATTTCAGTGCATCAACATTTCCAATTAGATGCTAATTTGTAAGAATGGTTAGAAAGAAAGGCAGGCAGATTAATGATGTGACAAAATTATATTCTTTAAGGTGCCAAGTTAATTTTTTAAAAAAATATTATTATTTTCCAAGCCACGGAGATTAGAATGACTGGTTTTACTACTATCTCTGCCTCTCTCTTTTTTCACTGCTGGTTGATCCAGTTTAATCAGTGAGTGAGAATGATCCAAGCTCAAGATTTCTCTCTCCCACAGACTCTTATTTTTTTTTAATCTCGTCCCCTATGTCCTCTAGCCATAAGAGTGAAAAGGCAAGTTAGTGGTGAGGCAAAAACACACTGCACATGTTTAGAGGCTCAGAACCAGGCCCAAAGAGAGGAAATAAGGAAGCATGGATGGAGGAGGAGGAGGAGAAGAAGAAGAGAAGAGATTGGATTTATACCGTGCCCTTCACTACCCAAAGGTGTCTCAGGCCCCGGTCACACGGAAGATTTTGGCCCGGGAGAGGGACGGATCGGGGGCGCAGCAAACGGGCGCGATCTCACCGCAACATATGGGAAGCGGCGCGCACCCGTCCCCAATCCGTCCCTAAACCCGGAAAAGCCGCTGCAAAAAAATAACCTCCTACAGAGGAGGACTTACCTGAAGCACCGCAGCAAGTGTGGCCGTGGGATCGCCGCCACGCCCGACGTCTGGAGCAATCCAGGCTCCTGGCCGAACTGCGCACGTGCACACATGCGCAGTTCGGCAACCTCGCTCTCCCTTCAGTAGCTTCCCCCC